TTTCAATAGGTGCAGAAAAGTCCTTTGATAAAATTCAACATCCATTCATGCTAACATAAAACCACATTTGGCATACTTGCTTTAGAAGGGAACATTATTAATATGATAAAGTGTAGCTATAAACATCCTACAAGAGAAGATCACTACTTATGTCTAACAATAGCTAGCACAATTTTGAAAAACCAATGAATGTTGGTTTAAATGGAATTAAATCTTAAATTAGTTTAAATGGAATTAAACTATGTCCAAATTCATAGTTAAAATGTGTGACCAAGAGACAAAGCCCAAAATACAGGACCATATATGCAAGGATATTTGAAATATTTAACATCTTGTACCTCTCACATGCATACATCAAATATATATACATATTAGAAAAAACAAGGAAATTTCTATTTTTATAGTATTAAAATATGTGAGGTTTTGAACAAAGGAGGAAGAATAAATTATATAGGTAAAACTTAAAAGATGCTAGCTCTAGGGTGGGATGTTTCAAGAGAACAGCATCGAAACACGTATATTATCTAGGGTGAAACAGATCACCAGCCCAGGTTGGGTGCATGAGACAAGTGCTCGAGCCTGGTGCACTGGGAAGACCCAGAGGGATCAGGTGGAGAGGGAGGTGGGAGGGGGGACCGGGATGGGGGATACATGTAAATCCATGGCTAATTCATTTCAATGTATGACAAAAACCACTGCAATGATGTAAAGTAATTAGCCTCCAACTAATAAAAATAAATGAAAAAATAAAAAAAATAAAAATAAAAAAATAAAAAAAATAAATAAAAAAGATGCTAGCTCTAGAAAGGCCACAGACTGGGAGAAAATATTTGCATAAGAATCTCGTAAAGAACTGTTGTCTAAAATATACAAGGAAATATTAAAACAACAATAATTAAACATTTCAATTTAAAAGATGGGCCAGAGAGTTTGACATCTCATCAAAGAAGATACTCAGATGGTAAGTAAGCATATGAAAAGATGCTCCATATCACGTCATCAGGGAACTGCAAATTATGCAAATTAAAACAATGAGATACCACTATACACCTACAAGCACTGCCAAGATTCAGAACATTGACAACACTGAATGCTGGTGAGCATGTGGTGCACCAGAAATCCTCATTCATTGCTGATGGGATTGCAAAACAGTACATCCACTTTGGAAGATAGTTTGGCAGTCTCTTACAAAATTAAACATATTCTTACCCTATGACCTAGCAATCATATTCCTTGGTATTTATGCAAAGGGGTTGAAAACCTATGTTCACACAAAACCCTGCACATGGATGTTTACAGTAGCTCCACTTGTAAATGCCAAAACTTGGAAGCAACCAAGATATCCTTCGGTAAGTGAATAAATAAATGAACTGTGATACTTCCAGGCAATGGACTCTTATTCAGTGCTAAAAAGTAACGAACTATCAAGCATTGAAAAGCCATAGAAGAAACTTAAATGCATATCAGTAAGTGAAAGAGGTCAGTCTGAAAAGGCTATAGTCTATAATGATTCCAATTGTATCATATATGGAAAAGGCAAAACTATGGAGATCAAAATATTAGTGTTTGCCAGGTGTTAGGGTGGAAGGAAAGTGAATAGGGAGAGCACAGAGGATTTTTAGGACAGTGAAAATATCTTGTATGATACTTCAATGGTGGACATATGTCATTATAAGTATTAAAACTCATAGAATGTACAACACCAAGAATGAACCCTAATGTAAAGCACGGACTTTGAGAGATAACGATGTGTCAGTATAGGTTCATTAGTTAGAACGAATGTAGCACTCTGTTGTGGGATGTTGATAGTCTGCGAGGCTTTGTGTCGTGGGGTGGCGGGTGGGGGGGGTGGTGGTGGGAGGGAGGTGAGGCAGATATATGGAATATCTCTGAACCTTTTTCTTAAACTTGCTGTAAAACTAAGTGAAAGTGAAAGTCGCTCAGTCGTGTTAGACTCTGCGACTCCATGAACTATACAGTACACAGAATTCTCAAGGCCAGAATGCTGGAGTGGGTAGCATTTCCCTTCTCCAGGGGAATTTTCCCAACCAGAAATTGAAGCCAGGTCTCCCACATTGCAGGCTGATTCTTTAGCAGCTGAACCACAAGGGAAGCCCCTGTAACTAAAACTGCTCTTAAAAAATACTCTGAGAAAAAAAGATGATAGGCATTTTATAACATCTTCAAGCAACTTACTTCCATACTCTTTAGGAGAAATAAACTATATATCCACTGCTGAAACATATCTGGAAAGAACAAGGGTACATCACCATTAATTAAATGACCTATTGCATTACAATCTTTGAGAGTGGATTTTTTTTTGTACTTTGTGCTAAATCCACTCAGTCTGCTTTTTTCTCTTATGTTTCCAATGTGAACGTCACAATTTGCATAAGAAGGTAAGAAAAGATGTGTAGTGACATGTATCCAAGTAGGAACTTCTTTCAGATATTTGGGCTATTTTCAGAGTACATCCAAGAAGCTCTTGACTGTTTCAAGCCTGGACACTGTTGCTGAGCCGGCTTTTCATCCCGGCTTCCCTGGTAGCTCAGCTGGTAAAAATTCCTGGGTCAGGAAGATCCCCTGGAGAAGGGATAGGCTACCCACCCCGGTATTCTTGGGCTTTCCTGGTGGCTCAGACAGTAGAGAATTCATCCACAATGTGGGAGACTTGGATTCAATCCCTGGGTTGGGAAGATCTCCTGGAGGAGTGGCAACCCACTGCAGCATTCTTGCCTGGAGAATCCCCATGGACAGAGGAGCCTAATGGGCTACAGTATATGGGGTCACGAAGAGTTGGACAGGAATGAGTGACTAAGCATAGTACAGCACATGCTTTTACATCCAGTAGTTATTACATAAAAACAGAGTTTGTGAAACATGGGTTTAGGGAAATACAACCTTGTAAAGAAGCTATATGATTTCCTGCATTTCAATTTCAAGAAAATATAGTTTTCCCATTTGGCCTGCTGAGAATAGCTATTACAATGCTGATAAAGATGATTGAGCACCAAGAATAAAATATGTACTGTCTGGGCAACAAGATGCTTTTAGATAAAACACCATTACTAAGAGACGTACACATTCCTCGTATGTTCAGTTCAGTTCAGTTGCTCAGTTGTGTCTGACTCTTTGTGACCCCATGGACTGCATTATGCCAGGCTTCCCTGTCCATCACCAACTCCCAGAGCTTACTCAAACTCATGTCCATTGAATCGGTGATGTCATCCAACCATCTCATCCTCTGTTGTCCTCTTCACCTCCTGCCTTCAATCATTCCCAGCATCAGAGTCTTTTTAAATGAGTCAGTTGCAACAGGTGGCCAAAATATCGGACTTTCAGCTTCAGCACCAGTCCTTCTAATGAATAGTCAGGACTATTTCCTTTAGGATGACTGGTTGGATCTCCTTGCTATTCAAGGTATTCTCAAGAGTCTTCTCCAACACCACAGTTCAAAAGTATCAATTCTTTGGTGCTCAGTTTTCTTTATAGTCCAACTCTCACATCCATACATGACTACTGGAAAAACCAAAGCTTTGACTAGATGGACCTTTGTTGGCAAAGTAATGCCTCTGCTTTTTAATATGCTATCTAGGTTGGCCATGACTTTTCTTCCAAGGAGCAAGCGTCTTTTAATTTCAGGGCTGCAGTCACCATCTGCAGTGATTTTGGAGCCCAGAAAAATAAAGTCTGTAACTGTTTCCTTTGTTTCCCCATCTATTTGCCATGAAATGATGCCATGATCTTCATTTTTCTGAAGGTTGGCTTTTAAGCAAGCTTTTTCACTCTCCTGCTTCACTTTCATCATGAGGCTCTTTAGTTCTTCTTTACTTTCTGCCATAAGGATGGTGTCATTTGCTTATCTGAGGTTATTGATATTTCTCCCGGCAATCTTGATTCCAGCTTGTGCTTCATCCAGTCCAGCATTTCTCATGATGTACACTCTGCATATAAGTTAAATAAGCAGGGGGACAATATACAGCCTTGACGTACTCTTTTCCCTATTTGGAACTGTTCCTTGTCCAGTTTTAACTGTTGCTTTTTGACCTGCATACAGATTTCTCAAGAGGCAGGTCAGGTGGTCTGGTATTCCCATATCTTTAAGAATTTTCCACAGCTTTTTGTGATCCACACAGTCAAAGGCTTTGGCATAGTCAATAAAGCAGAGAAGTATATGTTTTTCTGGAACTCTTTTGCTATTTCAAAGATCCAATAGATGTTGGCAATTTGATCGCTGGTTTCTCTGCCTTTTCTAAATCCAGCTTGAACATCTGGAAGTTCACAGTTCATGCACTGTTGAAGCCTGGCTTGGAGAATTTTGAGCATTACTTTGCTAGTGTGTGAGATGAGTGCCATGAGGAAAAACTTCTGTAGAATGACATGCAGAGTTGTAAAAATATTCTGTAAGAGGTTGCTAGCAGGAAAGGATAAGTGAACTAACAGTCAGAAGCACAGAGTTTTCTACAGGTATGCCCCTTTTCTTCAGAACAGTGTAGAGAAACACAGCATGCACTTGGCTCCCTGAGGAGCTTCCAATCTCATTTGATTTAAATTTTATTACATATACAACAGCTACACTGACAGCATTTTAAAGAAAGTATATGAAAAGAAGAAATGAAATGCCCTGTTGATGGTCTATAGGTGCATTCCGCATAATTTAGTCATTTCAAGTAGTCATTTTTCTGCTTTTTAAAGACGTCTCAAGATTGCTTCCTTAATCACCAGTTTTAGTATCATATTTGGATATTAATTTTTAAGTTTCATTAGAAAAAACAGAGTAAAAATGCAATATTTAATTAAAACCTATAAATATTCATTATCCACTTTTTAAGCTGCTTCATTATTTCAAGAGGAGAATAACCAACATTTGACTTTCTATGAAATACTTGGGTGATAATAGTAACAATCAGCCACTGTTACTTGGGAGTGAAAGGAATAGTGAAAGCTGGTAAAGACATTTTGGGAGTGTGGTGTTTGAATGATAAGAGGACTACATTCTCCTAAGCCATGTTCCACCCTTGCTCTTGTTCTCTCTCCAGCAGCTTCCTTACTGCTTCCTTCACGTCCTTATTCCTCAAGGTGTAGATGAGGGGGTTGAGCATTGGAGTTACGAGTCCATAGAAGAGTGCAAGAAGCTTGCCCTTCAACTTGGCAGAATTGCCCTTGGGTGCCATATACGCATAACCGCTAATGGCTGAGCCATAGAACATAACGACCACAAGCAGATGAGACCCACATGTGTTGAAAGCCTTCTTGCGACCCTCAGAAGACTGGATTCTTACCACTGCCCTAACAATGTTGATGTAAGAGAACAGGATTAATCCCACTGGGATAACTTTTATGATGACCACAGCAGCATACATCTCCACTTCATTGATCCATGTATCAACACATGATAATTGAAGCATGGCAGGTACTTCACAGAAGAAATTCTCCACCTGATATTGACCACAGCGAGGTAGCAGGAAAGTCAACACTGTTTGCACCAGAGAGTTGCTGAAACCTGTTACCCAAGCCACCGCTGCCAGTTGTTGGCATAGCCGAGAATGCATGATAACTGTGTAATGCAGAGGCTGGCAGATAGCTACGTAACGATCAAAGGCCATTACTGAGAGAAGGACACATTCAGTGGATCCTAAGCCAAGGAAGATGAATAGTTGAGCTATGCAGCCTCCATAGCTGATTTTTCTCTGGCCACCCTGTATGTTGACCAGCATCTGGGGGACAATGGAGGTAGTATAGCAAAGGTCCAAAAAAGAGAGATTAGCCAGAAAGAAATACATTGGGATGTGGAGTCTGGGATCAAGGCGTGACAAGATAATGATGGCTGAATTCCCAAGGATAGTCATTATGTAGAAAATGGAGATGGTCACAAAAAGAACCATTTCTAGTTTGGGCCATTCAGAGAAGCCCACCAGAACAAAGCCCTTGGAGTGAAGAAGAGTGTTATTGAATCTTCTCATTGCTGTGACTTTACTTGCTGGAAACACCACAGTCAGATTTTGGAGCTTGATTAGCCTTTGCTTAGAACTTAATGCTGGTTAATGAACCTACATGTAATAGAGGAACTGGGTAGGGGATGCTGAAACAAATAAAATCATTAATGTATTTCCTTTTACTACCTAGGGAAGAAGAATGAGAGTTAACGATAATATATCTATATTTTAAGAACCATATTTTAAGCCATGACTTTCATTTGGTAAGCATATAGGTAACTAAGTCAAGGTATTACAAAAGTAAATCATTGCAAAAAGAAAGTGTTGGATCTGTTAAGATGGAGAGACACCGAGACTTCATTGAAGCTTCATTAAATCTCTAATTCACTCGATATATTTTTTTAACTTATTTTTTTTTCAATTCAGTTCACTTTCTTGGTGATCTTAATGCATCTATATTAAAGCAGATGAAATTTACCATCTTTGATAGGCACTGTCAGTTAAAGAATATAAATCCTCCTTTTTAATTACTGTATGTCTCCTTTCTGCTTATTGTAATTAAGTTAGTATAGATAAAATTCCAAGGACCAAAGACAATCCCTTATAGAATTAATTTATTATCACATTTAGCCAAGAAATAGTTAGTAGAAGTTAACATAAGTAGGACTAAAATTTTCACTTATTTTACTTATGTTGAACACATTTCTACCAAATAGTATATATTTATATATCAAAAAAGTTTTGATATATATATATATGTCTCTATATATATTTATATTTTAAAAGTTTGTGTTTTCTATGGATGTTTTTACTATTCTCTCCATTTAGCCACACTTCTAAGGATAAAAATTCTCAAAATGGGCTATAGCAAAGTGGAAAAAGCTGTGAAAAATATTATACATACTCTCTGGTGTGAGTCCTGGATTACATAGGTAGTAAATGGCTTATAATTACATAGGTAGTATTGGTAGTGTAAGCATCAGACTCCTTGTCTCTGCCTCTGAGAAAATCCTGTTTCTTAAACACTATTGTATGTAGTCACAGGATTCATGAATAAACCTGTAATATGTGAATAAACATTCACTTAATAACATTTTATTTGTCACATTGGATATTAGCTAATAAAGATATGAAATCTGTTATCTTTAATTATCTGTATGCCTGGATTCAAGGATACTCTTGTCTGAACTTAGACACGGCAAAGTACATTAAGCAAAACAGGATCATGTCCTGGAAAGAACAGTGAGATGGTTTATCAGCTAGCACAGTGAAATAGTAAAATTAAATAAGAAGTAAAAAGATTAGGAAGAATAAAATATCTTGAAATAATTTATAATTACTATCCTGAGATCTAATTATTAAAAATCCTATTAAAATTAAGTTCATATAGCAAATAATTATTAATACTAAATAAAGGTGCAATTTCAAAAGATTAGCATATAAATGCAAATAAAATTTCATACTGAAAATTTTTAAACATCACCAATAATTTAAAAGAATAAAGGAATGTTATTTTAAATGATATTAATAATATCATTTGTCAACTTCTCCTTAAGAAAACACTTGAGATATAAAATCAATGCACATACATATTTACATGCTAGGATAGGCATTGCTGGTATATTCACATGATTTAAATTAGAAAAAATAACTTTAATTTTCAGAATAGCAAAATGTTGAATATAATTTATCTATTGATTAGATGGTTATAGTTAATAAAATTAATTATATACATGCAATGCCTATTCATCATCATAATATTTTAGTATATGAAACATGCATAATATAAAATATGACATTTTTTAATATTGCTAAAATATATGTAAATTATGCTTACAAAAGGATGAGAAAACTACAAAAAATAATTGGGTTTGAGATTACTAATGATTTTCATTATATAATTATGTTCCACTTTTCCAAATTATATTCAGTGATTAAGCATGCTTCTTGTGTGTGTGTGTATGTGTATGTCTGTGTGTGTGTGTATGTTTTAGCTGCTCAGTTGTATCCAACTGTTCATGATGCCTATGGACTGTAGCCCGCCAGGCTCTTCTGTCCATGGAATTCTCCTAGAAAGAATACTGGAGTATTCGGTTTTTATGATTAGTCAAATCCATAATACAAATATGCAGAATTATTTGACAGATAGTAAGGAAAAAAAATAAAAGCTTAAACCCTTTGGATTAGCATAGTATCCTGATAAAATTTATACTGTTTCCATATATACATCATTCACCATACATATTGTGATCTGTTTGATATGAATATGAGACTCATTTTTATGGAAAGAAGAGGTTCTTCTACAGCATATGTAATCTTCTATGCATGGATGGTTATGTGGGCAGTCTAGAGAACTCCCCAAACTGAGAAGGAATCATAATGGGGCATAAGACTATGAGACAGAAATGAAGTCACCAAAGTCAGAATTCAACTAATTCAAAAATTAGTCTGTGGCCAGTTGTAATGTTCACCTTTCAAAGGATATTATTCACTACTCCTTTTGGAAGGCAGGAAGGAAGCAAGGAGAGGAAGAAGAAAGAAAGGAAGGAAGGGATTCTGATTTTAATGTTTCCTGAAAAGAACAATTGCTAAGAATAGCAATTACTATATAGGGACATTTTCTGAAGACCAAGTGTCATATGATAAATACAAGCTGAAGATGTATTCAGAAAATACTTTTACATCCTACTTAATCTAAACAAATACCTCACAACAGTCATTCAAAACATTTTTCCTCATGCTTTCTTTCTTAGTATATAGTAAGTTAGTATATGTTTTCTTACTGTATGCATTCTTAGAATAAAAGAGTATAAAATGGAATTTTTTCTTTATCTTTGACAGAATAAGACATTGTGAACAGGAAGTATGCAATCAAATTGGTCCTAGAAACAAGTGCAGTATCTCTTTGTACCTTTTATGCTACCAAACTGGCATAATAATAAATTCACTGAAGCTTGTGCAAGTTGCACATCAGCAAACTTTCTGTACTCTGTTGACATGTTGCTGAGATGAATTTGTACTACCCCTAAATCCACTAGGAATCCTTTCCAGATTACAAATTACAAATATGTAGAAATTTGGTTCCTTAGTAAATAGGAGCTCACCCACTTGATTATTTGGGTCATTTCCCAAAACTCCAAGATTTCTTACCAAATCTACATTGACTTGGGGGGAGAGATCAGCTCATAAGAAGGATTACTCAGCATAATTTTCCTCACCTGCCAGTGAGCTCTCCCCAAAATTAACAATCTCGGAGATTAAAAAAGAAAAAAAGTTACACGATGGAAACTAATTACCCTACTTACTCTTACTATTCAAATATTTAAACATCATTATTCCTTTTTCTTTACCTCTAATTAATTTTATCTTTAATAAAATTATTTTAATTCACATGCCATGATTGCACAGCCTTCTGCTGTTGTCTGTAGTCTCCGTCTCCACAAACAAACCTGTTGTTGATTGTCAAAGTGGCAGTCTTCTAAGCCACAGGTTCTAAGACTAAGAATAGCACAAAGAGTAAAAGTAACTTCCCCTCTTTTGGAACCAAGTTTCCATTTTCTCTGAAAGAAGCCTCTCAGAGGCTCTGTGTCACTTCTCTGTTTTGCTGCATTGTTCAGCTTGTAAGGTGTCTCACTCTCCCTAGTTCGTCCCAGCAAGAATTCCTTGTGTCTAAATCTCATCACAATATTGACTCTCCTCTTTTTTTTATGCCATATTTAAAAGAATACAAGGATACCTAGGGTCTCCTTGTTTTTTACTCCTCAGGGAATGTAGTGACTTTAGGATGGGGCATGCTAGAAATTCTCACCTTGGGGAACCAATCTCCCAGTTGCAATTAAAACTCATAGAGAAAAGCGCTTGGGCCATCAGGAAAATACAAAAAATAGCATCATAAACTGCTTACAAAGCAAGTGAATTGTACATAATTCTGCCATAGTATACACACTCATGAATCTTGAAATGAATAAGTGGTGTTTACTTTGTGCTTGAAAGTGAAAGAAAGTGAAGTGAATGCCACTCAGTCGTGTCCGACTCTTTGCGACCCATAGTCCATGGAATTCTCCAGGCTGGAATACTGGAGTGGGTAGCCTATCCCTTCTCCAGGGGATCTTGCTAACCCAGGAGTCGAACCAGGGTTTCCTGCATTGCAGGCAGATTCTTTACGAACTGAGCTATCAGGGCTTGGCACCTTTTTTATTAAAGCTTAATATGAATTACATCATTTAGTAATCCAGAGCTTCACCAATATATTATGTTGTCAAACTTTTGGATTTATTTTTCAACCTGATAGTTAAGAAATTGTATCTTCTTGTCACTATTTTGTATTTCTGTTATAATGAATGAGGTTGCTGTTCTTTCTGTATGTTCAGATGCTGCTGCCTATTTGTGAAAAAGCTGTTGGCATTTGAAGATGTTGTTGTCCATTTTACTTTGAGTTTATAAATTTCCTCTTGGTTTGGGGAAGTTTTTATATATTAGGAGACTGGCCCTTTAGCAACTATATAAATTTGATTTTTTTGGTTGTAATCTGTGGTCTAACTTCTCTTATTACATTTTTATTGTATAATAGTAAAACATATATAGAAAAATGAAAAAGTCATAAATATAAGCTCAATGAATTTTTACAGAGTTGAAAGACTCCTGTGAAGTGGCACATAGAAGCAAGAGAGAATATATCCATCAGGTCAGAAGCTCCCCCTGTGTCTCTTCCTAGCCATTATCCCCTAAGACACTCTTTTGATTACCAAAACCATAAGCCTTATTTGCTTGGTTTTGAAATTTAAATAACTAAACTCATCTAAGATGTACAATTTTGTGTCTCAATGTTGTATCTGTAAAATTCATCTATGTTTTTACATGTAAATTATGTCATTCATTCTCATTACCATATACTTATACATTTATGAATATAATGCAATTTATTTTTATTGCTTACATTTGGATAGTTTCATTGGAAGACTATTACAAATAGTGTCAATATATACATTATTGGATATGTCTTTCAGTGGACAAATTTATGCATTTCT